GCGTTTTGTGGACACGGTCGTTTATAATAACAGTACACAGTATAAATATAATTTAGAATTCTCTGATCGATCAAAAAAATTGATCAGAATGAATTTGATAATAGTTCACTCATCGTTTAAATCAATCACAATTGATAATCCATAGTATAACAATAAATCGACAATTGAACAGAAGCGAGATTTACAATTACGGTGTAGTGAGCACACAAACAGTACGTACGATAATACTCAGTGATGTTTTTTTTTGCTTTCTTTTTGTAGATAAAATTTAATAGGACTTCAATAACGATTTTTCATTCATATTTTAATTAATTCCCGAGCTTTGCACTCTACTGCCTCATCGGGCAATGGAAAATGGACGTTGTGATAGTAATAACATTCGTTTTATCAATGTTGATTTCGCCTATCGTCATAACGAATCATGCATTGCGCAATTGAGCTTTTTTTCTATTTTTTTTTTCAATGAAATTTACTTCGACAATAACAGCTCCTGACGATTTTTCATTCGATTTAAAAATTCATACGACCACCTTAAGAATGATAATAGCAGAGTCTGTTCACAACAGATAAAATACTTGATCCATTAAGTCAATTAAACGATAAAATAATACGACGAATATATTATTGCAGATAAAATATTTCTTTAAAAATGAATAATACTACTAAGTTGCAACTAGCTGCCAAATTAACGAGTTAGACGGAATTGATTCATATTTTTTATCAGAGTTATCTACCAGCATCAGAATGGACAGAAGGATGAAGCCTGTAATCAGTGTATGACGAATAAAAAATTCTAAGTATCTAAATTTCCCCCTTGGAAAAAATTCTCCATTCCTACATCTACAATTGATTATGCTTTACCTACGAATTTTAATTCTCATCTCTTCGTTACAACAATAGTATTGTCACTACCAATGATTAAACATAAATAATCATCCCCTCCCTCCCCTAAAATGGATGGTTATTCCATCATTATTTTCGTCTTCCATCGAACTCTTCCTATTTAACAATACAAACGAAAGACATTTCGTTTCGCAAAATTGTTCTAAACAGTAGAACATATTAAATTGGTAACGAAGAAAAAATAATTCCTGTTCCACGATATGGAGCTATCGAGTGGTCACGTTTATAGAATACCTCGAACAATTGCCCAGTGAATTCGGTGGTATTCTGTAAAAATATCTCTGGCACGATTAGATATCGATAATTACCAAATGTATCAATTCCAATAGGCAATTCAAGGGGTGATCGAGGTAATCAAGTGTTATCTCTCTGTTGAATATTTTCCCCTGAGCGGATTCACTCAGAATACTTTGCTCCACATCTTGACCATCTTCTAGAAGAAATCTCTGCCGTGAGGACGGTTTGACTGTTGTTGCATTCGAGGTCGGCCACCACGTCCATTACCCCCAGTCCCGTGTCTTCGGGAGTTTCTCAATTCACGATCTACCTCGAGCTCCTCGAGCTTCATGGTGAGTCCCAGTTTCTGCTGGACAGCCAGTCGCAGGAGATGATTCAAGGTCTTTCGATCATCTTCAGCTATTTGCAATTGACGCTGAAGCTCTTCTACTTGAGTTCCGTATTCCTCACAACGCGCGGCAAACATCGCACGTAAACCTGTTGGTAATTCACAGTTAGGTGGGTGTTAAAAACACCAGTGGGGGCATCATGAGGGAGTTTGTGGGCTATTGGGAGTTGTAAGCCGTTACCACGTGGAGGGATAACACTAGGAAAGTAGCTGGTACGTGCTGTGCATGGAAATAATCGAAATTATGAGTTGTTTCATATGGAGACATTAAAGTAGCTCTAAATTGAAAATTTGTAACAACTTGACAAAATTGTTACCCTTGGAATCTCAATTGTTTCCCCAATTCAATTGTCCTCTGTGTTTTTGAATAAAGAATGTTCTTAATAATCGAAAACTGAGTCAATTTTTTAATGTGTCGATTCAAATCAATCCTTTCATTGTAATGGAGAATAAAAATGGACATTTTTTACTATGAGATGTGAAAAAATGCAAACTTTTTTCAACAGCTCATGAAAGATAATCCACTTTGTGAAAACGCGTTCTATTCTTTATTCTTTACACAGAACTGTTTGAAAATGTTCAATGTTTTTTTAATTTTAATTGAGTTTGATAATTCAAAAACAGGGAATATGCAAAGAGCTGCTTTAAAGGGATGGGATGAATGTGGAGCTTTAATCTGTTCGCTAACTAGGTCAGTCTTATTAATTGTACGTTTGGCTGCTCGTTATGGCCACAAATTAATTAAGAAGAGATTAATGGTTATTTATGTGGATTTTTCAACACTTGAGGAGATATTCGCGATTGCATACGCCTAATGCTACAGCTAGATCAATTGTCACTGAGCTTGATATTAATATGAAAATGTACATGAATACTTGATAATGAAATGATACGTTTTTTTCCAGAGAGTTTTTCATGACATTAGTCGCACATTCAAGGAGGAAGAGGTAAAAAGAGATCAGCATTAGTAAGAGATTGTAAACTCGTAGAAATCAATACCAGAGATAGTGGGGTCGATGAACTGTTTGCAAGTTGTTCAGTATAGTTCAATAAAATAGCCCATCTTCTCCCCACATCTCTTTTGTCTTTTTGGAATACTCACTGGAGAATGTTGCAGCATTTTCCTTCAATCTCCTCAGCTCATTCCTCAGCTTCGAGATGGTTTCGCTGACGATGCTCTTCTCAGTCTCGTACTTGCTCTTGAGGTTGTTCAAGGCGACTTCAGCTGTGTTTTTGTTGGATTTGAGGACAGTCCTGAGGGTGGCGATCTGTTCCATCTTCGTGGACAACTGGGCTTTCAGCTTGATCACCTGTTCCCGGAGCTCTGACTCCTCTGCCTTGATCTCATTGTCAGCTGCGAATGGCAAGAGAACAAAAATATATGATATTAAGAATATTTAACATTAGTGAAGAAAATTGAAGAGCATTTAACATAGTGAAGGAAAATTAAGTTAAAATCGACTCGTTAAACTCTGACTTTACAATTGGAAGATCTCCAGCAAGTGGCAATTGCACTGGAAATTCCCGTAATTTTATCATTGTAAATTTAGAGTATTTGTTAGTGAAAACAAAAGAAACTATCGATATTAATCGAATAATAATTTTGTGAAAATAAACATAAATTACAAAACTTCCAAAAGCATGTCTTTCTACTGTTTGAAAATTTGAAATGTCTTTCAATGCCACCTTCAAGGAGACTCTCATGAGGCTTTTCCCAGAAATTGAATGAAATATAGTTCTGCCAAATATTATAGATTATTATTTCGGAAATTTCAATTTTTATATAATAGTAGCCATTCAAAAAAGGATTTAATAATTTAATGCAAATCATAGATAGTTTCGAAATATAATCACCATCAGATACGGCCCCCTGTGTTCCCTTGAGCTTGGACATGTCGATCGTATGCTCTACAGCATTGCTGAGGTGCTTGATCTGGTCCATGACAGTCTCAATGTGCTTCCCAATCTCCTTTGCCTTGCTGAGACTCTCCAGATCCTTGATAGGCAGTCCAGTCTTCGACAGCGTTCTCAACCACTCGATTCTACCACTAGACTCTTCCTCCTTCATAGGGACAATTTTTTCGTGATCAAGAATCACTCGGGACGGTGTTTCACCATTGACAGCGCAGACGTGGTGATACAGTTGAGCAAGCTCGTCGGAAATATTCTGAAGATCATTCTGAGCTGTGTCCAGGCAACCACCAGCTTCAGCCGCCAGTTTCGAGACGATGCCAACGTCTGACTCCAACTGGGTGTTCTTGTGCTCGGTGTCCAGCAGCTGAAAATTCGGAATTAACCAGTTGAGAAAGGGTTAAGAGGTTTTGGAGTACAATGATGGGTACTGGCTTCGCATTCTATATTTCTTTGGATGAATACACATGCCCGTAAGCACGATATTTCTGGTTTTTTGGTGAATTTATTCGATGCAGTAGTGAATTCATAAATAGTAAACATTAAAATCAATTGATAAAATCCTTTTAGACAAGCAAATCTCATTCTGAATTCATCGTAAGATAAATGTAAAGTAGCTCTCCCTTTCAATATTTTTTAGTTTTTCAATTCTCAAACTACATCAGATAATTTTTTAAAATATCGTTGTTATTGTCTAAACTTTCATTAAAATTGAAATGTTGATTTTCACGGATTTAATGGAGAAAAAAATTCGCAATGATCTTTGAAATCACTGTGGAGTAGAGTAGAGCTATTTTAATGAGATGTTAAAAAATTATGTCTCTGTTTCGTTACGTTCTATGAATTCCATATTGCATGAATCTTTCTTCACGAGCAATGTGTAGCATAACTGCAAGGAAAATTGGTGACACTCGTAGAATAATAACGAGTGTTCGTGCAACGAGACTCATAGGATCAAGAGTTTCATGCCACGTTAAAAATTCTCCTTCTCAATATTCTCTCGGATCATTTGAATCATCGGATTCTTGGGTGTTTAGTACTCTTGCATGATGGACTTGTAACGGTATTCTGTTAAGATGAAGAAGCGATTCCTAGTAAACGTTGGTTAGGACATCGTAAATGAAGCAACGTGAATTCATTAGATAGGCAGAGAGTAATGAAACGTAAAATTAGAGATAAACTCAAGTTATTATTAAGTAGGTGGTAAATACGTAAACGGGGCCACACGTTCCAACCTTTTCCTGAAGGCTCTTCTCTGACAGTGGTATCTGCAACCCGACAATTTGTTGTTCAACATAATTTTTAACATTTTAACCAACACCACGGGATTCTTTTGTTAAATCAATAATCTAGATATTTTTCCCCCTCATTACCCTGGTTATCACCGGACACAGGAGTACCTTCTTGTTTATTCACATACAATTAATGATTGTTGTATGGATTATAATTCTAACAACAGTCTTACCTTGTTTCTAAGATTTGTCAGCTCTGATCTCAGTTGTTGAGTTGTGTCGGAGATGGTTAAACCAGCTTCGAGCTCCAATAGGTCTTTCTGGAGTTGTTCTACCTCGTGAGCCGACATTGTGCTCCATTGGTGGTACTGCATAACAGCCTGCACTCAAAATTAAGTCAATGAAGACAAATCAATGAGAAAATTTTATAACAAAATCGGAACTAAATATTATTCCAAATCCTTATATTATTAACTGTAGATATTTGTTAAGTCACACCCCAAAAATTCTCCCAAAAAAAAATCACCTGAGTTAATTTATCCATAGCAGTCTCCTCTGTCTGCTTTTCTGGAAGCTTTGAATGCAAGTGCTGAAGCGACTGGACGTGAGCTGACAATTGCACAATCCTGGCGACAAAGGCCTGCAACTCCCCCTGGCTCTTCTCCACCGCGTGCTGACTGTCTCGTAAATTCTGCGTTAACAGGGCCTTCTCTGACTCAGCGAGTTCCAGTTGTTTCTCCAGTTTCTTCAGTTCATTCAGGTGAATCTCTGAAAACAGATCAACTTGTTTGCCAGCAGCTGATGTTCCTGGCTCCTGGGTCTTGAGATCAGCCTCAATCCGCCTGAGAGCTGGAGAATCGTCCTCTCCATCACTGCATATCGTTTGGTCTTCAGTGATTCCTCGGATCGAGAGAGCAAGATTACTAAGATTGTAGATCGATTCGCTGTTCATTCTCTGGTCGAGTTCCTTTTTCAAGGCATACTTGGCCTCACGCTCTGCCTGGAGGGACTCCAGTGCCTCCTCCATCTGCTTCTCAGCAATCGTTTTGAGGTTCGACAGCTCTTCAACCTGACTGTTCAGTGTCTCCACTTCCTCGGTCAATCTTCTTATTTCATGTTTTGCACTCTCAAATTCGACTTGACTCGAGCGCAGGGTCGACACTTGTTTTTGAAGGGATATATTCTCGTCCTCGAGTTCTGAATAATCCTGGAGTAGACGAGTTTCACGGAAGCGACACTCTCGGAGCTCCGAGCGAAGATTTTTCCGCTCTGATTCCGCCTGCTGGTGATCCTTGCCAACATCCTCACGCTCCTGGAGGGCATGATCACGCTCGGCTTGCACTCGCTCGAGCTCGTGACGCAGCTAAAAAAATCGAAAAATTATAGGATATCGGCAATAACACAGTTGTGTCAATTTATTACAGTAATTTCAATTCTATTGTGATGTTAAAATTTTTCCCAAAGTAGATAATTCATGTCTTAATTTGAATCCCAAAGAGATATAACTTATCAACCTCTTTTTTCCTTCCCCACCCCCTCAGATAAAACCTTATTGACTCACCTGTTTAATATCAGTCTCAAGCTCAATTATTTGCGTCTGCAGTGACGTTTCCCTGGCAGCACTCTCACAAAGAAGGCTCTCTTCCTGCTCGATTCCACTCTTAGTCGTCAATTTCGTTGTAGTTTGAAACTTGGCCAATGCCTAAAACCCAAATGAATTAAAACCTCATTCACCCATTCATTATCTCGAAAAATGTGAATGCCTCATACACTCCCTCGAGACATGGCTAGACCCTCCCAGAGGATTGAGTCAACCGAATGCCAATTCTCCCAACAGATTCTCCCCAGGAACTTTACTCCAAAAATATCTCTGTTTATTTACTCTGGGCCATCTCAAGAGGATGTGAATCCCTCGTAAAATGAAATGAAAAATTCCAACCAGGGATCATCAGTAATATTATTCTGAGTCATATTTTAATTTTGATTAGGTCATGTAGATTATCCAGATAATGAGTAATATGCATTTGTCGATTGAAACCGATTCGATAATGAGCATTTTTCACGTTACAATTACTGATTGTTGCTGTAACCGTCAATATAAAATAATTACCCACTTTTTCATGACTTTCTCCACCTTTTCGAGATAGTCATCATTAAATTGAAAAACGCGATAATTTTCGGTGCATATCTCAACAATGACGAGGCCCCGGTCTCAAAAATATTAGTAATCGTTTTCTACTGGATATATACGCAAAATTTAATGGGTTTAGTTCATGGAGACGTGATTGACATCAACAGCTACTGCAAATGCCCCTCAAATTAATGATTGATTTGAAAAGAACTATTGATTGATGTGATAAATATTATTGATATTGGGCTATTAAAATAATTAACCTCACCGGTTGCTTATGAAGAATTTGATTATTCTAATAGTAATATCCTTTGTTGATTTTTCTGAACACTCATTTCAACTAACCTCTTGAGTGATGTCGAGTTCGTGCCTGGTATTTTCGTAGAGGGTCTCAAGCTCATTGCACCTCTGCTCCAGGGATGACTTTTCCTCGAGAAGGGCCAGGCCATACTGAGCAGATTGAATTTTCTCTGTGGATGCCAAATCCAATTCCCTCGAAAGCCTCTCGATCTCTGCCCTCAGGTCGGTGACACCTTCCTCACTTGTTGCCATATTTGGACTAATACCTCTCGGATAATCAGTTAAATCCACTGGTTTCGTGATTAACTCAGTTTCGCCTTTTCGTTCAGCCTTGATTCGTTACCGCGAGGAATACCGAGCACCGGGCATTCCTGATGTCGACGAGTTGTCTCTCATCGTTCGTTTGATCCTTAAAATTCCTCGCCAAGTCAATGTCTTCAGGATAATCTGTCGGGGTTGGTAACACCAGTGGCACCTTCACATACTCCAGTGGATGACTGACGTCGACGTGTGAGATGGCAATGGAAACAAGAAATCCTCTTTCTCCAACCGGATGAGGAGTTTTCACGCACCCTAGAATGAACTTTCTGGTGGAGACAAGCCCATGTGGAGATGTCATTGGTGCAGAACAACGAGGTCCTCAAGGTCGATTCCCAAATGGCCGCTCAAGGGGAACGTCACAGAGGATTGACTAAAGTAGAGGCTCAGTTCTGGGGGTTGGGGTGACCTCAGCGGTATCGTAGTACTGCACTCCAAGAAAGGGAGGGCGCCACACGCAATGGGGGTGTTGTCCCGTCAGCCGACCTCGGTAACTGCCTCAGTAGCAGTCCCACTGTCAGAGGGACCAGTCAACTGGATGAATTTTATTTAATGTGTTACAAAATTGGTATTCACTGAAATAGAAAAATGATAAATTTTCAAAAAAGTAACGGAGGAGCATAAAAATGGAGAAGGTATTCACTGAAATTTGAGAATTCGAAATTTTTGAAAAAGTATCAGGAGAGCATGAAAATCGAGGAGGTATTCAATGAAATTTGAAAAATTCGAAATTTTCAAAAAAGTATCAGAGGAGCCTGAAAATCGAGGAGGTATTAAAAGAAATTTGAAAAATTCGAAATATTAAAAAAAGTATCAGGGGAGCATAAAAACCGAGGAGGTATTCACTGAAATTTTAAAATTCGAAATTTTCAAAAAAGTATCAGAGGAGCATGGAAATCGAGGAGGTATTCACTGAAATTGAAAAATTGAAAATTTTCAAAAAAGTATCAGGGGAGCATGAAAATCGAGGAGGTATTCACCGAAATTGAAAAATTAAAAATTTTCAAAAAAGTAACAGGAGAACATGAAATACGAGGAGGTATTCACTGAAATTTGAAATTTCGAAAAGTATCAGGGGAGCATGAAAATCGAGGAGGTATTCACTGAAATTGAAAAATTTTAAATTTTCAGAAAATAGAATTCATCCAGTCAAGTGGTCCCTCTGACAGCGGGACTGCTACTGAGGCAGTTACCGAGTCGGCTAACGGGCAGACACCCCACCATTGGGTGCGGCCCCCACTTTCTCTTGGGGTGAGGTACTCCCTGGGAACTGAGCCACTCAGTGGGGGTTTGAGTAACCCCACCGGCATTGTACCCCACCTCACCCCAAGAGAAAGAGGGGACCGAACCCACTGGTGGGGGGGTCTGCCCGTCAGCCGACTCGGTAACTGCCTCAGGCCCTCAGTAGCAGTTCCGCTGTCAGAGGGACCAATTGACTGGATGAATTTTTATTCTGAAAATTTAAAATTTTTCAATTTCAGTGAATACCTCCTCGATTTCCATGCTCCTCTGATACTTTTTTGAAAATTTCGAATTTTAAAATTTCAGTGAATACCTCCTCGGTTTTTATGCTCCCCTGATACTTTTTTGAAAATTTCGAATTTTTCAAATTTCAGTGAATACCTCCTCGATTTCCATGCTCCCCTGATACTTTTTTGAAAATTTCGAATTTTAAAATTTCATTGAATACCTCCTCGATTCGCATGCTCTCCTGATACTTTTTCAAAAATTTCGAATTTTCAAATTTCAGTGAAGACTTCCTCCATTTTTATGCTCCTCTCATACTTTTGTGAACATTTGTCATCTTTCTGTTTCAGTGAATACCAATTTCGTAACACATAAAAGAAAATTCACCCAGTTGACGGGTCCCTCTCATAGCGGGACTGCTATTGAGGCAGTTACCGAGTCGGCCGGTGAATTACGGGACGACCCCCCCATTACGTGTGGCGCCCTCCCTCTCTTGGGGTGCAGTACTACGATGCTGCTGGGGTCACTAAAAACCCCAGAACTGAGCCTCTACTTCAGTCAATCCTGTTTGGAGAACGTCATCAATTATTTGCTGTCTCTACGGTAGAGGAAGATCCTAGGTACTTTCCCATTTTCTCCAATGTTCAAATCGTTTAAATGTAACCGCGAAACGTCAAGGATGTTCTATGCAATTTTCGCAAGTATTCTCAGTCATGAACACAAAAAAATCGAGAAATTTTCAATTAAATCATTGAGTTGCTACTTGGCGACTTTATCAAGAGTTAAATTTCTGAATATCATGCAGTATCATGGCAATACGTCAATTACGGTACATTTTTTTAAACGTGCATTTTAGAATTGTTGAAATAATAGACATTATAAAAATACTAGGCAATCAAGCGCGGGTTCTATTTCTAAATGAACGCTCTAGCGCACAGTAACATCCTCATGTTATTGAAAATGTTCTAGTCATGGAAATTATCAATCAATCCATCACCCAATCAGAAGACGAATAAACAGTTAACAATCAAAAAAATCACGCATTCTCGATCAACTTTCTGATAAGGGATAAAACAATAAAGTCTTGACCTTCCGCCATTCTGAGCACTCGTCAGAGAGGTAAGTACGAACTTTCCGTACAGGTGTGTGGAAAATCGTTATTTCAATACACATAATGACTAATTTAATTTGATTAATGACAAAAGGCAAAACT